CATTAATAATATTTAATATTGGTCACATTCATGCCAATCTGCGGATGTACTACAACTATGACACAGAGGATAAATAGGTCTACGTTCAAATCCGACTATGAACTTGTTTAAAAACTCACTTTAAGCAATCTTTGAAAGAAAATGCTTGTTAGTTTTATCTAAAAAATACAGCTTAGAACACTCCTTAAATTTGTAAAAATGCTCACTATAACATTCACATAGAAGTTTAATTCTATTTAGTATCGCTGAAGTCCAATAGATCTATGTAAAGGGCATATCAAGGAATCAAAAAACGGCAAATCCAGCGCTGACATCAAGAACTGCATTAATAAGGCAAAACTTTAAGTTCACCCTCCTATATGGATGCCAATCATGGAACGCTGCGTCAAATGACATCAACGCGCTATAAGTCTTTTTTAACCAGTTCTTACAGAAGATCATTAAATTTTCTGACCAAACATGCTATCGAATGAAAGACTATGGACCCATCACTAACCAAAAAACACCAATCAAGATTGAAATAATAAAGCGTAAGTGGGACCTGATAGGTCAACCTCTGCGCAGACACCAGTGACACCACAACAATAGCAATCGAATTGAACCAATGGGCAGCCAAGGAAGAGATAGCCCTGCGCACACCTGGAGAAGACTAACGGATACAGTACTGTCACGTATACAGAAAAGTTGGGGAGAATTAAAGCTATTAGCCAATAACAGAACTGAATGGAAAAATTTTATTGTGGCCATTTCCTTCTTCTACCAATTAAGCAAATTTATATATATAACATAGAATATACTGTAGTTAATAACTGAAAAATTACTTTCACTTATACATACATACATATGTATGTTGTAATTATAAATAACTCTATATAGGTTACTTATACGTGCTTTGAGATTGCTCAAAGTAGTATTATTTTAGTTACAAATTAGAAAACATTTTTATAAAATATAAGATTGTAAAAACTAATACTTTTATTTTTATTATTACTTTGTGCTTAAGATTTTTTGGACTACCCTCGTAAAAATGAAAAATGAAAAATAAAACAAATAACACTTTTAAACAGTAGCATCAGCTATGTCATAAAGATATAGAAATATTTTCAGAAAATTCAAAGATTTCCAATAATAACTTGTGGTGGTGTATATGTTTTTATGGCAACAAGTGATTACTTGAAGCCCACAAGCACTGTCATTGGAGTCAATACAGTGGGATTAAGCGCACTGACATACGAGGGCATCTGTAAGTAATGCTTTGAAGTGTTTTTTCGTGGCATAGGTTGAATGAATTGTGTGTGATTATTCGTAATAACTTCGCCTTTCATAACTTAAATTCTTATTTTTTTACAGTAGTGAACAATGAAGAGTGACGTCGCACATGCGCTCTATACCATACTTTTATACTTTCATCATTGGCAGTCAATGGGAGTGTGTGGCATTAAGGCACATAAAGTGTGCCCATGCGCTTTGTAATTATTTACAGCAAATTCACTTTTATTATTTCAAATTTTTTTCCTTCTTCGACTTCGTCGACTTCAGCACTTAATTCTTTCATGCACATAAAACGTGTTAATGGCAGATATTTTTTCTATTTTTCATTATAGTTTCTTTTTAGAAATATTTCGCTACTGCTTTACTCATTGTAATGGTATCCGCTTAATTCTAAAACAAAAATTTAAAGTGAAAATTGTTATTACCAAAGAAAGTTTTTCTTTTGACTTAGCGTTCGTTTTGTGCGCATTTCGGTTTCATTTATAATTTAACACAAACTTAAGCGTACTTAAACGTCGTCTTTATTTAAGCTACTTTTAAAAAGTATCTATTAACAGTCATTTTATACGTCTGCTCGCCTGACTACTCAGCCTGTCAGCGCATCTTTTCTTCATCAAAACAAAGCACTCACTCACTAATATGCTGAGGTGCTGATCCAATGTTGGCTGATTAAGGCACCGACTCAGTGCAAAATTCAAATTAACGGCCGGTTTGGCTGCGTTGGCCTCATTCAGTTTTGCATGTCACATGTGATATTTACGGTGAGATTTTTTCAAAAATATTTTAATTTTATTTTATTTTTATTTTTTTTTTGTTTTTTGAAATTCATAAATTTATATTCATAAGCGGTGTGTTAATTATTTATGCAAATTTCTTATAATTCTCGTGTTTGTAAGCGTTATGAGTGAATTATTGCACGCTTTTCTCTGTTTTTTGAATTTTGCTTATCTTAGCTCCGCTCAAGTGAAAATATTTGAATATAATTATTATTTTATTTTATAAATAAACCTAGTTAACACATTTTTGGGGCATAAATTGTTTGTAATGGTAGGGAATTTGTTTGTATTTAAATTCTTAAAAAAGAAAAATAATTAAAAAAGTAAACAATTTAAAATAAGTGATATTAATTTAAGTTACGACTGCATTTATTTACATCGAAGTAATTTACAAAATTTAAAAATTTCTAAATATAGTAAAGTACATACAAATACATAACAGCATAAAACTGTCAACAACAAAATAAAATATTAAACATCATCAACTCAAATATACTCAAATAATTAGGCCAGCACTACTGTACGGATATGTAACTTACAGCAAAGCCTCAAATACTGTCATAAAACAATTACAGATAGCACAAAATCTGGCTTTAAGAAGACTAATTAAGATTCTTTGGTATATTAGAACAACAGACATGCATAGAGATCTAAGAATCGACTCAGTGAAAATATATATAAAGGACAGAGCCTTAAAATTATTCACAAAAGTTGATATGTTGCACAACCCCACCCTTATAAACTTTAAGTCCACCTCAGGACGCACAGTAAGATATGCTGTTTTACGATCCGTCATCAGTTAGAAGATAAATAAACGATAATGATTCTAGTATAGTTAAAGTTTAGTGTGGGGCAATGATAAGCCCTCCAGCCACAAAAGAGTAAAAGTGCGCAATAGCACTAACTCAAATAACAACAACAACAATTAAACATCATATACAATAGTAAGAAATCAAACATTACCAATATTCCTGTTAATCCTTTTCTGTTAATCTGAATAAAAATGACAAAAATTAAAATATTGAAGTTCATATACTGGTTAGAAGGCAGTATTCCTATGACTAGGAACCCAGGTGGTAGTAATATTAGTAAGTCATAACAAAATAATCTCCAATGAAGCCGGTACCCCAACAGCAAAATCCATAGTAGTATTAAAGCAATGCTTCTTTAACTTAGAATACAAATGAGAGTGCTATTAGCAAGTTATGATGACAATGTAACATACACTCAAATGAAGTAGAAACCGGTATCCCAAGAAAGAAATCTACAAAAGTATCAAAGCACTGTGAATACAGATGAAAGGGATATTAATCATAATATTATTTGTTGTAGAAAGTGGTTTTTCTTTACTAAAATTTTTAGTAAACGCAGATTTTCGACATAATCATCTATCTATAAAACTAAAAGAAATTATGACGACTTACTTTCTGCACAACAATTCTAATTCTATGTAGGTACTCGTAAGAAACAATCAGTTCTACAATGGAAGCACAAAATGTTGATACTATAAATGAAATATAACTTTCAGTTTTTAGATAGGTATATAAGACTCCTTTCAGAGTCCTTATACTTAGGATAATTGGGTGCAGATCCATACTATATAACGTGTCGCCACGTAAACGAAATAGAATCAATTTAAAATTTTTCGTTTACCTGTTTATTCGTATGTTGGCATTTCCTACAAAGATTTTTTGTAAATCTATGTAAATTAAGTCGACTAACTATAAACTATAAATACGTTTGGTTGACTATATCACGTAGTATGAATAGAAGAAAGGAAGTGTATATTACCTCATATTTTTATATGAATTTAAGAAAATCTAGAATAAACAAATAAGTCATTTCTAATACAACTGCTTATGCGAAGAGTGTTAAAGATTCAGTGCAACCAAAGCAAATTTTTTTCTGTCATGTATGAATTAAATAAACCTTAAATAAATTTTTTATATGAAGTTAAGTACATCAAAAAATTTTAAAGACATTTTGCAAATATTTTTTTTCTTGTTTAAGGTTTTAGCGATAATATCTTTCATTTATATGAATTAATGAAATATTTACTTTATTTTTTTTTTTTTTTGTGATGACAAAATGTTTATCTAACAATCTTTGATCTATGATAAAATTATTTATATTCCTGCTTTTCTACTAAAATTTTTTATTTAAGCTTTATCACAAAAAAAATCAAACAAAAATATTATAAAAAACAAATAATTTGCAAAGTACCCTCCCTGAACATGACTATAGATTATAGTCGAAATATTGGTGAAAATATATTATATAATATACATTGTAATATATATAATTTTTTAACATAATTTAAAAAATTGTGTGTGTTTTGAACATCCTGTTACTAAAATAATAATAATAAATAAAAAATTGTAATCGTCAACAAAACAAATTATAAAAAAAAAATGTTTATATGTAATTAGCAAAATCTCTTACAAAATCTTTAGGAAATCTCTAAAGGTTATTGTAAATAAAAAAAAACCGCAAAACTGTGTTTTTCATGTGCATATGACAAGAAAAGGATACAGGCACTTAACATTAAAAACATATTTAACAAAACAATAATAAAACAGGATTTTTGGCAGACGAAGAAAAACAAGGATTTTATGCTAATTTTGAGGCAGAATAAAAATTTAATAATTTTGAAAGCCAAACTCTGTCTGCAGTAGACTTGAGTCTAGACTTGTCATGCCACATTATTTACTGCCACTGGGCACACAAAAAAGTTGCAAAAGCAAAGAGGACTCATCGGAACTCGTATGTGTGCACACGCACAGCTGACGTGCATGGACGACCTGCGGTAGAGAGGAACTACCCTCAAAATGACTGATAAGCCAACCATGGA